TCTATGATTGTTTAACTGTAAATTATCCAGCCCTTATGAATCTGTTGGCATCAGTAAAATGTTGAGCGAGGTGTTCATTTAATGATGAAGTCAGCTCTTTGACTGAGTTACTAGAACTTCTGCTCATTTTCAGGTGTCCCTATTTCTGATACCAGCGTAATTGGTTTTACAGACCCACTGTGCCCCCAAATCATCCTGTGCCACAGTGTGTATAAGCGGATTTGTAGGTACCACATTAAAAGGTGTGATGTGCTTGCACTGTCTAATCTTTTCCGTTTCACAGAAATAACTGTGAACCCAAGATGGCTTCAGATAAACTCTTCCTCCAAACCCAAAGGGAGAGAACTGACCACAAGACTTCAATTCCTTTTGCCCTTGATCTCCCACTCCTGAATCTTGGCAGTTTTTCAGTTCTCTGTAAATGCCATTATTGTGGTTACATAGTCACTAGAGCCCAGGAGAACCCGTCTTTGTGTCATTGTAGCTATGCAGAGCCTGGCATAAGCAGAATTGTCGGGGGCTGTATACTATGATAGGATGGATGTGCGTTGCTGAAAGGATGCTGGACTGGGAAGTTAAGCGACCAAGTTCTAGTCCTGTCTCTATTGTTTACTAGCTGTGTGATCAGGCAACCAGTCAATAAGCATTTATTAAGTGCCTATTTTCTTATAGCACACTAGGCATTGCACTTCAAAAACTCATAAATGAAAATTGCCCCAATCTATTAGAACTAGAGGGCAAAGGAAAAATAGAAAGAATCCAAGTTTCCTGAAGAAACCCCAAAAGGAACATTTCCAGGAATGTCACAACCAAAATCCAAAGCTCCTGCATCAAAGAAAAAAAATACTACGAGCATCCTGAAAGAAGTGGTTTTTAAAATGCACAGAAGAGAACAGAAGATAGTTCAGAAGGAAGCACAGAAAAGGAAGTAAATTCAAGGTCACAGAAGTATTAAGAACTATAGTCAGGCTTATATTAGTCCTGATGGCTTCTACTGAAAACAAAAGGGAATCTTGGAATATAATATTCCAAAAGGCAAAAGAAATATGTGTATAGCCAGGCATAATGTATCCTGCAAAGATAAGTATATATCAAGGAGGAAATGAATATTTAAGGGAATAGAGGACTTTTAGGCATTTCTAATGAAAAGAACAGAGCTGAGTAGGAACTTAGAATTGCAAATATAAGCAGCCAGAAAAGCTAGAAAGGTAAATTTAGTTGAGCAATTTGAAGGAGCTATATGATGATGTAGTCATAACTATTCCCCCAAATCAGAAAAGAAGAAACAATTGTTTCTTCAGAATCTTAAGGTCTTTGAAGAGTATTCAGGGAGTTCAGTAAGAAAAACTGAGATCCTGGGTATGAATCTGAAATCCTCTCTTCATTTCTCACCAGGCTGTACTCAAGACTTCACCACAATGCCCCTGCAAGATCAGGCCTGGAATTCACATCTCAAAAGTACTCCTCTATCCCAACAGCTCCTCCCAGAACCTTTGTTTAAAGGGGGAACCCAGCCCAAACATCTCTCCTTTTCTCAACAGATTGAATCCAGATTTCTCCATACTGTTCCTCCACCTTCTTCACTTCTCTCCCCATTTGTAAGCTTCTTGAGGGCAAGGACTATCTTTCTTTTTGCTTGTATTTGCATTCCCAGTGCTTACTGTAGTACCTAGCAATGCTTTTTGACTAACTGAATTCATTCTATTCTGAGAGCTTGAGATTGAGAAAGAGGACAGAGGGTAAAAGAAGTACACTGGGATAGGGGCAGCTAGGTGGCGCAGTGGACAGAGCACTGGCCCTGAATTCAGAAGGACTTGAGTTCAAATCTGGCCTCAGACACATGACACTTACTAGCTGTGTGACCCTGGGCAAGTCAGTTAACCCATTGCCTAGTCAAAAAAACCAAAAACATAAAACCAAAACCAAAACAAAAAAAGAAGTACACTGGGATAGAAAGGAGAAAGAAAGGAATAGAGCTCGCTATTTCTCATAAATTAGGCTGTGTAAGAAGAATATAAAAGCATGGAAGAAGGGGTAGGGGAGAATGGATATCAGATGATACTCAATCTTAGCTAAAGTGGACAAAAGACAGTTGAACACACAAAAACATAGTTTGATATAGAAGAATACTATAGGAGGAGGGTTTTTAGAGGGAGGGTAATAATAGCAATAATCACAAGCAAAACAAACTTCTTGATCCAGAAGGGGAGATTAAAGACTGGGGGTTGAAACAAAGAATTGAAATCCAAGAGGGTACATCAGATTGTCTCATAGACAATTAAGCAATGACTGAACAAACTGTGATATATGAATGTAAGGGAACAGTATTGCACCATCAGAAATTATGAACCAGATCATTTCAAAGAACCTTGGGCAGAATGAACTAAGCAGAACCAGGAGAACAATTTTATAGGACAACAATGTTGTTAGGAAAAAATGCCTTTGAAAGTCTTAGGAACTCTGATAATTGCAACAATCAACAATGTCTCCACAGGACTTATAGTAAAACATGTTGTTGTTTGTCCTTCATATTGAAAGAGGACCAACATTATGATGTTGAGGTCAAGGTACAGTTTGTTCACCTGTGGCTGATCAGTCCAATATGAGCTCGGAAGGCTCTACCACAGGGTGGGCACAAATAGTCCATTTGAACATTTGGGATGGAGACATCTCTGGATTTGTGCATCTCATGTTTCCTTTTTGTAACTGCGATTCTGCTTTGCCCGTAGTTCACAGTGCCTTCTTTGATGCAGGCATGCCAGGCTGAGCAGTCCTGGGCCAATGGCTCCCATGTCTCACAATTGATGCTAAAGTTCTTCAGAGAGACCTTGAGAGTGTTACTCAGCTCCTGAAAGAGGTTATGGACACATGATGCAGAAAAAGACATACATATTTTGGACATGATGACTGTGGATTTATTTTGCTTGGCTATGCTTAATCTCATTTTTTCCCTTTCTTTGTTTTTACTTGGAAGAGGGCTTAGGGAATGAGGAGAGTCATTAAAATATTATTTTTAATGCACAGAAAAGAACAGAATTTCAGAAGGAAATATAGGTAAGTAGAACAATATTGAAAGTAATGCATAAAACCTGGGAAGACTTACATGTGCCGAGGCAAAGTAAAGCGGGCAGAACCAAGAGAACATTGTACACAAGAACAGGAATATTGTAACAATAATCAACTGTGAAAGACTTAGCTACTCTGATTAATACAATAATCCATAACAATCCCAAAGGACTCATGATTTAAAAAAAATACTGTCCACATCCAAAGAGAGAACTGATGAATTCTAAGGGCAGATTGAAGCAATTTTTCACTTTTAAAATTTTTCTTTCTTTCTTCCTTCCTTTCTTTGTTTCTTTCTTACAGCATATCTAATGTGGACATATGTTTTGCCTGATTTATTAGGTATAATTGATATTGTATTTCTTGTCTTCTCAGTGGGTGGGGGAGGCGTGGAAAAAAAAAGCAAGTTTGGAACTGAAAATAAAAATAAAAATAACTTTTTAAAGAAAGTAATGTATGGAATTTATTATGTACTTAAAAAAAAAGTAAACAGCATGGGGCAGCTAAGTGGCACAGTGGATAGAGCATTGGCTCTGGAGTCAGGAGGACCTGAGTTGAAATCCACCCTCAGACACTAGACACTTGACACTTACTAGCTGTGACTCTGAGCTAGTTCGCTTAACTCCATTGTCTAGCAAAAAGAAAAAAAAAAGCAAACAGTATGAAATGAAGATATATGGTTTTATAGAGAATACTTTTCTATGTTCTTCTGTATGGAAATACCTCACCTCCTTTTTTTTTACATTTAAGTTCAGAGTAAAAAAAAAATCACAGGTTAATTTTTTTTTAAATGTACCAGACTTTATAGGGATCCAAAGGCAAAAGGAAACATTTACTGCCCTCAAGGAGCTTACATTCTCTCAGAGGAAATGTGTACATAGAAAATTAAATACAAAGTAATTGGGAAGAGCACACTAGCAACTGGAGAATTAGGCTGGGCTTTCTGTAGGAGGTAGAATTTGAACTGACTTGTTGGAAGTTACAGCTGTATGGAAGATGGGAAATCAGTTACAATAGTTCAGGTGAGAGGTGACAAGGGTCTGAACTAGAGTGATGGCTATGTGGATGAGGAGAAGGGGATAGATACAAGATATATTGTGGAGGCAGAACCAACACAACTTGGCAACTGATAAGATATGAGGGGTAAGGGACAGGAAAGAATCAAAAGCAACTTCAAAGTTTCAAAGGATGGTGCTTAACAAAAATAAGTAAGTTTTAGAGGGTGTTTGGGGAGTTTGGTGGAGGGGAAGAGATATCTATTGAAAATTCAGATGGATACATCCAATCAGGATTTGATGACGTGGTACAAGAGTTTAAAAGAGGTAGAGCTGGATATAAAATAAGTATTTGTATAAGTTATAATTATATATTTGCATGTATGTGTGTATACATATATGCATATATATATGTATGTATGTATGTATGTATGTATGTATGTATAGTCTGCATACCAGTTGAACCCATGTCATCTAATGAGATAAGGAAGGAGAATAGTAATGTCTCAGGACCGAGTCCTAGGGTACATTCTTGCATAGAAGATTAGAACAATATTGATGATCCAACAAAGGAGACCAAGAAGGAAAAGTCAGTTCAGACAGATAGCAGGAGAACCATGGACAGTCCAATACCTGGAAAATCCAGAAAAGAGAGAATATTTTATCAGACGGGGAATGGTCAACATTGTCAAATCTTATGGAGAGATAAAGACTAACAATAATTGAGAAAAGATTTTCTCATTGGACAATTAAAAGAGCACTGTTATTTTTAGGGAGAGTGGTTTTAGCAGGGTGATGAAATGGGAAGCCAGATTGCAAGGGGTTGAGAAGTGCATTGGAGGTGAGAAGTTAGAAGCAATGAGTGTAAACAAGTCTTCTAGAAATTTCTCTATGAATATACCTGGTAAAAGTTTGGTTTTGGTTTTTGTTTTGCTTTAGGTTGGCGGAGATATGGACATGTTTGCAGGCAGCAGAGAAGGAACCAGTGGATAAAGGAAGAAAGAGGATGATCTAAATGGCAGGCTTTCAGAAGATAAAGAAGAGGATGGGATCAAGGGTATAAGTTGAGAGGTTAACATTTGCAAATGTGAATAAGCATCTCCTGCAAGATTGGAGCAAAGCAGAGTTGGGAATCTTGTTGAGGTGATATGGAGTGTAGAGATGGGGAGAAGAGAAGGAGTGCCTCATTCTTCCAGTCAAATATTTGTCTCCTTTCTCTTTGTCTGTCTTTGAATTAGTTGTCCTCCATACTTGAAATGCATTCGCTTCTCACTTCTGCTTCATCGAATCCCTAGCTTCCTTCAAATCAGAGCCCATATGGTTGTCACCTCCTACAGAGGGTCCAGTTGCTAAGTGCTTATCCCACTCTACCCTCAGTTTCTTGTGGCCTTCCCAGAAATGACTTTGTGTATTTTGAATTGTCTGAATCATGCCCTTTCTCCACCATTCCCCAACCCTTCCCCTCCTCCTCCCCCCCAGTAGAATGCAAGCTTTTCAAGATTAAGGCCTGCTTTTGTTGTTGTTTTTTTGTTTGTTTGTTTTTGGTCTTTATGTTCCCAACACCTCACACAAAGCTTGAAATATACTAGGAAATTTAGTGTTGTTGTTTGTCCTTCATTTTTTGAAGAAGACCAATGGCATCATGGGGTGGCATCTTGACCTCCCCCTGAATTACATTTCTTTTTTTTCTTTTTTTCTTTTGGTAAATATTTTATTTTTTTCCAATTACCTGTAAAAGATAGTTTTCAACGTTCTTTTTAATGAGTTTTTTTACATTTTTTTTTATAAAATTTTGAGTTCCAAATTTTTTCTCCCTCCCATCTTTCCTCCCTTCCCTCCTTTCGCTTCCTTCCCTCTCCAAGACAGCAAGCAATCTAATATAGGTTATGTATGCTCAATCACGTAAACATATTTCCATCTTAATCATGTTAAAGAAAAAAGCAACAAAATGGAAAAGCCACAAAAAAAGTGAAAATACTATGCTTCAATCTGCATTCAGAGTTCATCAGTTCTTTCTCTGGATGTGGATAGCATTTTCTGTCATGAAAATTCCAAGTTGTCTTGGATCACTGTATTGCTGAGAAGAGCTAAGTTAATCATAGCTGATCATTGCACAATGTTGCTGTTACTGTGTATAATGTTTTCCTGGTTCTGCTCATTCTACTCAGTATCAGTTCATGTAGGTTTCCAGGTTTTTCTGAAATCTGCCTACTCATCATTTCTTATAGCGCAATAAATAGTATTCCATTACATTCTTATACCACAACTTGTTTAGCCATTCCCCAATTATTGGGCATTCCCTCAATTTCCAATTCTTTGCCACCATAAAAAGAGCTGCTCTAAATTGCTATAAATATTTTTGCACATGTGGGTCCTTTTCCCTTTTTTATGATCTGGGATACAAACCTAGTAGTGGTATTGCTGGGTCAAATAGCATTCACAGTTTGGTTGCCCTTTGGCCATAGTTCCAAGTTGCTTTCCAGAATGATTGGATCAGTTCACAGATCCCAACAGCAGTGCATTAGTGTCCCAATTTTCCCACATCTCCTGAATTAGATTTCAATGAGGCAAGGTTGTACAAAGCCAAACAGCTGGCTCTCTCTTCCTGAGTCACTGAAGTCCAGTGGCAGGACAAAAGTCAGGCTGACTGGCCCAGGATGCAGTGGATGACCTTGACATATTTGATGTCTGACCAAGTTCTAAGTGCTCCACAGCACCGCTGCCTTCATGACCATTGGAACAAATTGTTTTCAACCACCCATTCTGCTGTGAGAAGTCTTCGCATGCTTGGGGTAGACATTCTCTTAACTCACTGATGGATTTGAGGCCTGTTGGTTCCCCTCAACCTGGGTTAGCCAATCTGCTGAGATGGTTTTACCAGGGTGTGGTTGCAGTGCAGGCTGCAGCTTGGTGGAACCATGGGTGTTAAGAAAGTACGAGTACCTCTGGTAGGAGGGCTGCTGAGTCCTTTTCAGGGCTGCTCATCCACCTTTGGTGTCCAATCAGTTCCCTAATTCTCATTTTCTCCTGTGCAACAATTTAATAAAAGCTAGTTGAAGGAAATCTTCACTTCCAAGTCTAGCAATGTCTTCATTTAGTCATAGTTGCTTCTACATTCTGGTTCTATCTCTCACATTGCTGCTATGGGACCTCACCATAGCATCAACAACTTATCCCACTCAATTCACACACAAACCTAATAATAAGAATTGGCCTTTATATTGATTGAGCTTGAAGGTTTATAAAGCACCTTACATACACTATCTCAATAGATATTCAATCAATCCTGCAAGGTAGGTGCTGTTGTTATCTATATTTTACAGACTGAACCACAGAGAAGTTAAGTGACTTAGTTGGGCTCACACATTTAGGCGAATGACTTAGGTGGGATTCAAACCCAGGTCTCTGTGACTCTAAGTTCAACACTCTCATTCACTGTGCTAGGCTGGATTTGTAAGCTAGTCATCTTTTTATTTATCCATTGACAACTGGTTTCACAGCTGATGCTTACAATTTACTTGTTGGGTTACACCCTGAACCACTCTTTAGGATCTTTTAGGACATCAGTGGGGGCAGCTGGATGGCAGGGGATAAAAGCTGGGTCTGGAGTCTTCCTGACTCTATGTGTCTTCCTAAATTCAAATCTGGCCTCAGGCACACATTAACTATGTGACCTTGGGTAAGTCACTTAACTCAATTTTCCTTCGTTTCCTCATCCTTTTTTTTTTTTTAAATGATTTCGAGAAGGAAATGGTAAACCACTCCAGTATCTTTGCTAAGAAAACCCCATATAGGGCCACAAAGAGCCGGACACGACTAAATGGACGTCAAAAGGATAACCAGGCTTCCTGAACATTCCTTCTACCCAGAATGCCCTTCTTGTTTTCAGCACCCACTTCTATTTCTGCCCAGTTCCTACCAATCTTTAAAAACGTAGCCAAAATGTTACCTCTTCCTAAGATCTCTTTCCTGAATATCCCTACTTCCTCTAAATGTTCACAGCATTTCATACCTAACCCTCACTTTACACTTTCACATTCCCCTTCTAATTATAATTATTTCTGTCTGCGCCTTTGTTCTCCCACCAGACTATCCATTATGATCTGAGGACTCCCTGAGACCCTTTCAGAGATCACAATGAGGCCCAAACTATTTTCATAATAATATTAAAACGTTATTTGCCAATTAAAATACTCCTCCCTTCACCAACTCCATATCTGTGTGAGGCTGGATTTTCTTTACATACTTCAACCAAAACAACATATCTCAACGGGTTGAATGCAGAAGCAGAAATGAGAATCCAGCTGTCTTTTCTTTAGCCACACATTAAGAAGATCTATAAAAATATGTGAAATGATGCAACTCTTTTCATGAAATTTCTTTTAGAAATATAGTTATTTTTATTAAAATAATATTTATGTTAACACACTAGTTTTATTGTTGTCATTTTAAATGGATTAATAAGTTTTAAAAATTTTATACATTTTAATTTCTAATACAGTAAATAATGATAGAAATTGTGCTGGCAAATGTTTAATAACTGGCTGGGAGGTGGCATGTACAGGAAACACTTTTCAATTTAATTTGCAACATTAATGTTTTCTCCATTACTTTCCCAAGTCTAGGCATTTAAAAAAACCCAACATATCAAGCCCTGATGTGTAGCATTTACTGATTTCTGAGGTGTAAATTCTGACCCTAAAAATTTAACTATTATCCTCAAGTTCCCCAAGGACAGGGATAGTGGGTAATACTGAATTTTTTATTCCCCACAGTGCTTTGTACATGGTAGGTGTTCCATAAGTATTTTTTTGAATGAATCCACAATAATTTTGCTACAGTAATGGGCCCTAATAGGGTTGGCAGCCCTCAATTAAAGAAAAAAAAAGAGTCCACTACCAGTTTATGTATGTGCCCTTAATAGTTAATATTTATTTAGTCTGGATTTTTGCTATCCCATATATGCTGAATTTAGCCAGTAAACAGATTCTTTGGACCTAAGTCTACTTTAGTCACATTTTAATTTTCTAATTAATTTCAGTGTTGAATCATCAGAAAATAAAGTGCATAAATATCACCAACATATTAATCTGCAATAGGCAAAGCTAAATGCTCATGTGTAATAAAGGGGATGAATTGTGGAGAGTCAAAAAATAATTTTTTTGTCGTTGCTCAGTCATTTCCAAAACTGTGACTTTATTTCAGGTTTTCTTGGCAAAGATACTGGAGTGATTTGCCATTTCCTTCTCCAGTTCATTTTATAGATGGGAAAACTGAGGCAAACAGGGTAAAGTGACTCACCCAGGGTCACATAGCTAGTAAGTGTCTGAGGCCAGATTTGGACTCAGGTCTTCCTGACTGGGGGGAGGAGGGGGAGACTCTTTGCACTGCGTGACATGAATTAGGTGCATACAAGATATTTACAGGTACTCACAGAATTATTACAGTTATACCTCCCCTCCCCTTTCCTCTCCAACATTCCAAAATTAAGTAGGTTAGTTGTCCAGCTTTTCAAATGCTCTTCTGATGAGCAAAGAGGTAGTAATGAACAGTAATGATAGGCTGGATTCAGGTAAATTTGAAAAATCTCCAACTGTACTTCTTGGCTCTCTTTTAAGGCAAGAGAGGGAGGCACTTAGTCTTACTTTATTCTTTTATATTTTATTGATTTTCTTTATAGTGTAGCATTTTTTTTTCCTGGAAAGGTTAAGTAGAACACTGTTAGTAAGATAAGCTGCCCCATCTTAAAAGCCACAGCCTTATTGTCAACCAGCTTAAGTCAGATAAACAGAGATAAGGAGGTTATTACAACATTTAAATCAATGCATTCTCTCCATGCCTCCTAAAAATCCATTGCAAATGAAAGTTACCAAAAATAATTCTAACTCCAAGTGGAGGGTGGGCAGCATGGGGGAAGGGTCAAAACTGGAAAGATCCGGACTGAAGTCCCATTTCCAACAAATACTGGCTTTGTAATCTTGCACAAGTCACCTATCTTCCTGCTGTAGGCAACTAAGACCATAAATTGTAAAGAAGGTGCCAACCTGTATTGGTAGAAGGAGTTTCCTCATCTGGGATTCCCCAGGTCAGTGAAATCAGGGGTCTAGTCCCTGTCTTTCTCCTCCTTCATGGAGGGAACAGTTCTCTCCTCAAGGTAGTCTAAGGTGTTAGAAATGCACTTGACACCAAAAATTTAGTATCAAGGAAGTTTATTACAAAGTCCAGAGAATTTAGATGTTTCTGGCCAGAAGCGGTCCCTGAGTGCAAGGGCAAGTGTGCTTTTATGCAGTTAAATTTGGCACCAAACCTCCCAGGCCTGGATTGGTCCATTTCTTCCAGGTTACATTTGTTCTGGAATGCTCCCCGTTCCCACCCTATTGTGCCGACAAATGGACTATTGCCCCCACCCCCACCCTGGGTGGAGAAGTTACTATGCCTGAGGTTCACTGTCATTTTGATTTTGGGGTCTTCTTGGAACCATCAGGTTTGGGCTAAGCCCAGGCCCACCTGCAGTGTAACTGCTTCCTTGACTTGTTTTTATAATTCTCTGCACTATTCTACCTGTGGAAACATAAGCCCGTTTAACTCTAACAATTGCAAACTTAAAACAACTTAGGAGTTTTGGAGAGTTTTGAGATGGTTCCGGCTGCTTTAGTTCTAGAAATTTACCAGGCCTGTGAAAGTGATTGAGAGAGATAAGGGCCCAACCTAAAA